TCTTTTTTTTTCCCGCAAAATGAATATCACCTATTAGATTTCAAAGATGAAATGACAGGAAAGAGGGCTTTTAGTCGATGAGAATGAACAAATAAAGAAGTAAAAACAACCATTGAATATAGAGACAGTCTCGCAGTTCAACTTTATAAAATATGAACTGATGTTATAGAAAAATCCTCTACTAATACCACCGATAAATGATTCAGAAATGTGAACATTTCTCGATTATTTTTCATTTCTAACATAAAAGTTCCTTTTTTCTCGATAAAATATGAATCATAAAGTACGGTGTAAAATGTTGATAAAAAAAAAGCATCATTATTTAGCCATGTGTGTCTAGAAATTGTTAGAATTGCATTAGAAAGGTATGGGAAAAGGTTAAATTTTTCGCTCTCTTTTTTTTTTGTTTTGTTGTACCTTACCACTACATTTTTTTCGTAATTAAAATTGTTGGATATCCGTCGTACCGTGCCGCAGTGTTAATCTGAGTAAAATCCTCTTTGCCTTTTCGTTTCACAATTGTTCGTTCAACAGAAAAAAACATTTTTTTTTTTCTATGACATTTACAGAAAAGTAAGAAAAACTAATTTTTTTTTCTTTTTTCTTTTTTTCTTCTTTCTTTCTCTGCTGAAAGAGAGAGAAAGAGAGAGAGAGAGAAGGAGAGAGAAAGAGAGAGTGAGAGAAAAAAATAGTCATAGAATCGTCTCTATAAACAGTATATTATTTCAGGTCACATTTAAACTGTTAGATCCTCATCTGTCCCTCATTCACATAGTCAAATTTACTCATTAGACACACACCACACTTACACATAGTCTTAATTTAATTTAATTAATAACGGTGATCATTTCCTTTTCCTATCCTCATTACTATTATTATTATTATTATTATTATTATCGACAAACATAAAACATATAAGTAAGAAATATTTATTTTTAGAAATAAAAGAAAAAATCTGTGTAACATACAGAAAAGTATATATTTTTTTTTTATTGAAAACTTGACCATTTCGAGTATGAGTGCGCTAAAGAAAAAAATTAGAATTCCATACGATTTATCTTTCCTATGATACTTTTTATCCTAGTGAATCGCTTTTTTTTCCTGTTAAATATATAGAGAGAGACAGATATTTTTCTTTTTCCCTATAAATTTATGCTTGCTCAACACCAACTATGAAAACGCTGACAAATAAAACCGAGTTTTCTTTTCTAATTTTCTCTTTTCTGATTTTGTCAGATATGTAAGTCTACTCTATTTTTGGACTATTATACTGAAAAAAAAATGGTTTGTTCTCTATATTTATTTTCAATCTGTTTGCTTGCTGTTTTCGCGACTGCTATAGTTCTGATTAGTCTCTAACATTATATATTCTAAAAATTTGTCAAACGTTTGTTAATAAAAATATTTCATTTTGTTAGCCATTATAATGATGACAAATAGTTAGAATAATAAAATAAACTTTTTCTTAAATTTAATAGAAATGGTTTTTAAAAACCAAATATGTCCCGTTTCTATACAAGCTTTTTTCTTCTATTTTTCAGTCTGATGATCTGAAAAATGAGTAAAATATATCTAATCGACTAAACTGAATCTCGTTTTTTTTGTTTATTTGTTTCATAAAAAGTGTTTAAAACTCTTGGATAATCTTTGCTAGTAAAAATTTGACTTGAAATTATTTGAAAAATGATAATCTGATCTAGATTTTGATTTTGATTATAGTTTCAATAGTAATTGTGACTGACAAATTTTATCTGTCAATAGAAAGAAAATGTTTTCATTAAAATTAACTATAATAGTTGGATTCTTCATTACAAATTATCTATAACTAGAGGGTTTTAAAGGTTTTGATAGGGAAAAAAACGAAAAAATGAAATCTTCTGTTAATATTTCATTAACTGCTAGTTATATGTCATTTGTCATGAATAATGCGACTGTTCTATTTATTATCATAAATAATGTTTTTTTACAAACAAATTTATAATAATTTTCATCCTTACTAGAGGAATGGTTATTAAAAACAATTGCTCTGAACCATTATGATGTATGTTTGACGCATCTTCAATATTGAGTTACTCACAGGAAAAAAAAGAAGAAAAGTAGTCATAATCTAACTAAAGATATCAGAGAATAGAACAATTCAAATGAAACAATCTTGATTACTTAAATTAATAGATAGAAATATGTCTGAGACATGGACAAAAACAAAAAAATAAAAACAAAAATGTTTAGAAAAGTGTGCCCTTTGAAAAATTCAGTTACATTATCGAAATTGATTTCTTACATGTGTAATATGAAGCTATTCAACACTGGAGGATAGAATGTGATTATCGAAACTTTTGATATCTCTCACTTTCTTGAATATTGTTTGTCAAAATCTAATTGAAAATCTTTGTCATTCAATAACCATGTGTAGTAGAGATACTTTTTTTTTACCACTATTGTTGTTATTCTCAACATAAATTGATCATATGATGAAAGTTTTATCAAATTCTGACAACTTTAGGGTTAGACATCTGGTCATTGCTTACGAATAACGGTTAATAATACCACTGAATATTGACAGTATTTTCATCTAGAAAATTCGAATACGTGACAGTTCGTTCTTTTTTTTGTTTTTGTTTTTGGAACACAGGATGGAGCTTGAGGTGTCTGCAATTTCAATTTCTATTCTCTTTTTTTTTACTCAATTTCTCTAGTTAGCCGTTTTAAGAACACGTTACATATCCGATCAGAATGACCATGAGTTTCACACCTTAGAAAATTGTTGATTCTTATGTTCAACGTCTTATTTAGTAAAAAGTAATAGATTAAAACGTTTTCTTTTCTTCATTCTTGTCAAATTTTAACATGAACGATTTTTGAATAATTTTTCTATTTTATTGGAAAGAAAAAAGTTTTGATAGTCATAAAATTTAGTATTTTATTGATTATTTCATTCTTGATTCACTCGCCTGAAGGGAACAAGAGAAATATTTGTTAGTATTTTTTTTTTTGTACGATCTCGTTTTCTTTTTCGTTGTAAAATTAACAACAATCTAAACATTGTTCAACGAATGAACCTTCAATAAAAATATAATAGTCTATATCTTAATCAATTTCTTCAAAAATAAAAGATCATGTTGATTAATAACATTCTCAAATATATCTATTATCACCCTAGAGTTTGAGAACTCTTCAACACCTTATATTGTTGTGAACAAATCGCTTTCCGGATCAACTTGAATCATTTCAATAATTTAGACTCTAAATGTATTAAGTTAGTATCACGATTGAAGTTGTTCATATTTTAAGCAAGATAGTGTTAAGTGAAATATCCTGGTATTTATTACTCAGATCAATCGATCGAGTAAATTTTCGATGATACATACGGAGTGAGTTGGTTCACAGCTTCCTCAATGTCCGTTCTCAAAATTTAAAAAAAAGAAAAAGAAAAAACAAGTTCTGCTAGTTAAAATTTAAAAAAAAACATACATTTTAAAGAAAACCATTTTTAGATATTAAAATATTCTACTGTTTCTTTTTTAAACTCATTATATTATTTGTAAGTCCGTCCACATTTTTCTCCTTGTTAAAAGTGCTCATTTATTTTTCGTCCATTGTGTTTGTGCGCATTTTTCCTTCACAAAAAAAAAAAAGAAAATTAATTTAATGATAGATAATACTACAAAAAAAGAAAAAAAAGTTAAAAACCTTGTTACCTGCCTGCTTTTTTTTTATCGTATATTCTAATCATTAATAAAAGAAGAAAACGTATTTTACCTTGCTACCATACGTACTCTTACACGATTTAATAAATTTCTTTTCTTCTCTTCTGGCTGTATCTTGTTCATGAATACACGAATGTACATACGATGAAAAAAATAAAATAAAATAAAAATGTACACGTCTCGTGTAGTTGCTGCAGCAATAATAAGCAGTAGTAGTAGTAGTAGTAGTAGTAGTGGTAGTGTAGTACTGAATAATAGGAGCATAAAACAATTTCTTTAAACAGCATCCTTATAACACACGAAAAAAGAAGAAAAAAGGTGTAAAATAGTATAATCCAGTTATTAAAATGTACGTATGTATATGTATTAATCGGATTATCAAATTGAATGTACCACATATGGTTCTCATTTTGTACAAATGAGGCATACTGTGTGCTATAAAATAGAGTGACAAAGAGATTGGAAATAAAAAAATCAGAATATATAAATTCTAGTTTATTCATGTTGATAAAATTGTATTGTATTGTACTACTCTATATTATGAGTATTTTTATCTCTCTTTTATGCTGAGTTATTTTTATTATTTCATTTTTCAATCATTTCGTCAAGTCTTTGAAAAAATAGCAGTCCGACATTTCTATAGATGGAATATATTTATTTTTTAAGTTTTATTAGAATTAGTAGGTAATACACTTTCAAATAATGTAGACAATTCTGTCTTACTTATCTTGAAAAAAAATTTACACAAGAAATTAAAATTTAGAAGCAATTTTTGTTTTTAATAATTACATCAAATTTGACAAGTAATTTTCGCTTAGTTGCACTCTTTTTTATTTTCAATCAATATCAAATGAGAAAGAATAACTTGGAAAACGTAGGATAATGACTTCTATAGTAAAGTCAATGTTTTTCTCTCTTCTTTCTTTTTCGTTCCGAGAACATTGATGTTGTTGGAGAAAGAAAAATGGTCGATACATTTTCAAAAAAACAAAATAAATAGTAAATAAACGTAATAATTGATTGATGTATTTTCTTATTTTGTAAAGAAATACAAAATGACTAACTACACTTATTTACATACAATTTAGAATATTTCAGTTGTTGTTGTTGTTATTGTTTTTAAATGTATCAGAGCTAAATTAAGAACAAATGAAATTTTATTCGTGTTACAGGCTTTATGTTCACACTGTTATTGATTCTACTCTTTTACTTTTAAAATATACTATACAGTATTAACTTATTTTTAGAGCGCTATAGATAATTAATTATACTGAAAAGCCGTCTATCTTCATCATGAATAACAGTCATGAATCATTTAAAATAATGCATCTATCAATTGTTAAATTATTGGCACAACAACAAAGTAAGAAAGAAAATTTACATCGTAATCTATTATTATTACAAACATTACAAAAAGCAAAACATACATTATTCGAACAGTTATTATTCGAGGTAAAAACAAATTTTATCGAAACATTACAACAACAACAACAACAACAACTTCGATCATCACCAACTCCATTTATAGTACCTATAGAACATCAACAACAACATCGACGCAGAACATCTCCGCGAAGAATTCATCATCCACAACAACAAAAACAACCACCACCACCGCCACCACCACAACAACAACAATTAACATCAAAAAATATTGAATTATTAAAACATTTAGCATCAAAAACTTTAGAACACGGTTATCAAATTCGAATTAATGGTGCCAATATTGAAGAGCTTGAGAACAGTTTTCAACAACAGCAACAATCAACAATAAATGAGAATGAATCTATGTTAACAACAGTAAATCAGGAAGAACAAACAACTGTAGAATCATCTGATTTACGTTTACGTTTAATGTCATTAATTAAAATTCCTTCCATACAAGTTAAACTACGTCAATTGTTATTATCAACATCAGAAGAAAGTCAAGAACAAGATAAACGTTTAAGTGCCTTGCGAACATTTTTATTACAAAATTTAGGAACGACAGAAATAGATCACGAACAAGAAGATGGAGAAGATGAAATGAATGTCGATGTTAATAATAATCATCAAACACGAAAACGAAATTATTCAGATGAAACACAAGATTATCAACGTCAAAATGGTTCAAAACGTCTATGTTTACATCATCATCATCAACATCGTTTTCAAATGGCTATTTAATGAAAACGAAAATATATTCTGTTGTTTGTCTCTTGCCATACATATATATATATATATATATATATACAGAATATATATATATAGATATTAGAAATAAGTGCCAAAATCTAGATAAATGTTTACGTTACGGTAATCTGTGAGTTTTTTTTTTGTTTTTTGTTTTTCTAATGACTTTGAGGCCTTATCCCGTCGTAGGTGTTTTATAGCAATTAATTATTATCATATTCGTATTATTTTTTAAAATCAGCCGGTGTTTACACTTTGAATTTTTTTTCAAATAGACAATACGCCCATGATATCTACACTTGAATTAAGAATAAAAGAAGAAAAAAAAAGTTTTGTTGTTTTTTGTTTTTTTGTCAATTTTTTGATATCTTTGTTCTTTTTCTTTATTATAATAGATATATATTTTATTATATCTGTTATTAATTATCATTCATTACGTATTATCATTACGCTTAACTTTCTCTTTCTATCTCTTACGCATTTCTTCTTCTTTTTTTTTTGTTTTTTTGTTTTTTTTGTTTTTTTTTGTTCTCTATGTGTTTGTACAAAAGTGATAGTATTTTAATATGACAAAACAAAAAAAAATAATAGAAACACAGGTACAAGAATAAAAGACGATATATAATACTCAATATATAAAAAAACACAAAAGAAAAAAATTTGAATGAGAACTCTGACTATTTTAAATCAGTGAATTGTTAGTTATTTATCGAGATTATTGACGATAATATATTTATTTTATTTTTTGCCATAATTAACAAGTGTGTTTCACTGTTTTATCACACAATATAATATATTGAAGAAGAAGAAAAAGAAGAAAAGAAAAAAAAGACTACTTCTGAAAGTTAACATATAATTATTTTGTATTCGATCTATAAAAAAGCTTTCAACAATTTAGTCAATATATTTTTCACTATAATTCGTTGAGTTTGTCTGTTTACAATCATTTTCTTCTACTATTCTATATTGTATAATTTATTTTTTCAATGCCCATTTATAAATGCTAAAAGAGAAAATGATAACAATAATCTATATTTCTCTCAAACTGAGTTAACCATTAGGCTTTTATACATTATACATATATATTTAGTCTAAACATTTTTATTGAAAGAAGAAAAAATAAAAATCTAAGTGCAAAGAGTCAAAATATATATTTATATGTATATTCTACTCCTCCTATATCCATTCACCATTTACTTACATTTTTATATAGACATATCAAGTTGAAATGGTGATTTTAAATTTTTAAAAAAAGAAAAAAAAAGAAAAGAAAGACGAAGAAATAAAACTATCTTAAATAGCCATTAATTTAATAATAAGAATGAGGGCCGAATCAGATTTATTATGTGACTGTCGTTTATTCTCATGTTCTAATTGATCAAAGAGATGGTCGACAATGATATATCATGTTATACAAATTGAAAAAAATATTAATCAATTATCGAACAGGTAGATTAGGCATTAATGAAACATGCAATTCTTACATGCTAAAAAAAGACGAACAAGAAGAAGAAGAAAAACGATAGAAGAAAAAAAACAACACTTGGGAGACAACGAATTGACAGAAACTGTCAAACACGTACAATATTATTAAATCATCATCAGTGTCAGTATTAAAACTCAACTATATAGAAGTCTCAAACTTAGAAACAATCAAAAAAAAAAAAAAAAAATTCGTTTTCTCTTTTACAACAGAGTAGTGATACAAAGTTGATTCATTAGTAAAATTGTAAAACGGAACTTATGTCGATATTAGTCGATTGAATAAGAAAACAAAAAAAAAAATGAATTACTTATCTTATCAAACATTTTTCTAGAAATTGATTTCGATATAACTTTTTATGTTAATGTACTATTTTTAAATTTTCATTTGAAAAAAAAATGGATTTTTATAATAAAAAACAAACAAAATAATAGAAGAGTACTATAGAGTACAAAGAATGACATATATCTCGTACAAGTGTATACAGAGTTCGTTTGACAAGAAATTAATATAAAAAAGTTCACTCATAATTTTATCGCCTACAGCCATAATTACACACAAACAGACAATTATCTTCAAATAATAGCTTCAGATTTTTTGTAAGACTGATCGACTCTCTTTTCATTTTTTTTTATTTTCTTCTTGTCATATTCAAATACACTCATTTCATAGGATAAACAGACTACTGCTGTTTCCTTTATATTTGTAAATGAACCTTTTATTTATTTCGGTTCATTAAATAACTCCTACGTAATGATTGTGTATTTGTGTATGTGTGCGTGTATGTGAAGAAAGAAAATTTGATTTTTTGAACTAAATATAGTAATAACTCTATTCAAGAATAATAATCCATTATTGATGAGAATATTTTTTTTCTTCTTCTACTTCTATATATATACCAGAATCGGAGAGACTATTTATTATTATTGCATTGCCTGTGGGAAATATTTTTGCCTCTCAAAAAGCTTAGATTTTATATACTTTGGTATTATTATTATTATTATCATCGAGACTTTCTTTCTTTCTTTCTTTCTTTCTTTCTTTTTTTTTTAGTTTTTGTCGCATAACCGCATACAATTATATACTGTATTGTGTTTTGTTTTGGATTTTTTCTGTTTTGGCACGAACTATGAGAAAAGAACGAGAAAAAAAAGTTTAGCGAGTAAAAAAAAAAGAACGAGGAAATCCGAAGAAAACAAAAAATATGACGTTATCAATGAAAACGTAAAAGGAGAAAAAGAAAAATCATCTGATGATTTCTTTTCATTGAAATAAAAACAAAAAAACAACAACCTGTTACAACTCTTGGCACACGATCAACAGAATTCAAGAAGAAAAAAAGAAAAGAAAAGAATAAGATTGAAAAATCAGTTGTTTAAACAAAAAACGATGAAAAAAAATAAAAAGAAGAAGAAAATATTCTCAATATAGAAAAACTAATTTGCAGCAATAAGGCTAAATCGTAAAATTCAATTTAAAATTATTATCGTCTCTAAAAATAGTTGCGATCGTAGTCATTTTTTTTCTTTTATTTTTGTGTATTGCCTGATATACAGTAGAGTAGAAGGAGAATGAGAGATTGAAATTAATGAGAGATAGATGTATCTCCTCAACTAAAATTATTTACTAAACAGTAATTGTCAAAGAATTGAAATTCCATTTTTTGTTGTCAATTGTGTGCAATTATTTTATTTCTTCGCTTTTTTTGTTATAATGTAAAAATTGAAATCAGTTTTCAAGTACTAGTTAGGGTGTATGTGTATGTGTTTGCACTTTTTGTTTCATTCTCTCTCTCTCTCTCTCTCTCTCTCCCTCTCTCTCTCTCGTTCTGTCTAACGCTAAATCAGACTTTTGTTGTATATGTTCCTCATGACTGATAATATTAATCTTTATATTGTCTGTTACTGTGTTGTGTTTTACTAATGATCTGTATCGTTGTGTCGCTGTTTTAGAGTGATGATCAATGGTTTTTAGAGAAACAGACATACTATACATGGAGAAAAAGAGGAAGTGTTTCTTGATTAACTGTATATAACACATGTACAACTAATTGACTTTTTCACCTAAAAAAAAAACAAGAAAAGCTACGTCTGAGAATATGTCCGGTTTAATGTCATACAAATTTTACAATTATTCTGTTTTCTCGTTTTTATCTTAAAATACATTCAACATCCTTCTCTTTTTTTTTTTCTTCTATAAAAATAATTCAAATGTTCACTTCTTTTATACTAAAAAAAAAGAAAGAAAATCAACGTATTCATTATAATCACATTTCTCAATATTTTATTTTAACTTAACTTATTTTTCCGGAATTCTTTTTCCTGTCATTAAATAGAGCAAAAGTTTTATCATAAAAGGATAGCCTAATATCAAATACTATATCATATTTTAGTGATAAACAAAATAACTTTTGATTTTTCTATGTATCGGTCATAAACACGTTTATCGTTTCAATAATATAGCGAACAGTGATGTTTGTTTACATTATATTGATCATTAACGCTTAGATGATATGGCGATAATTTCAATAATTTATTTTAAAATATTCGATTAAAAATGAAAAATTGTACTTTGACATGCTTTAAAACAGTTAATGTTTGAATGTAAATAGAAGTTTTAATGTGCACATAAGACAATAGATGGCTGTGAAAGATAAGAAGAAAAAACAAAAAAAAGTTAAAAGATTAATGTTAGAGAAGAAAAAAAAAGAAGCAATAGATTGTTAATACTTTAGTTACTATCTAACTTGAGATGCAACACAGATCATGTTTCGTGTCGGTTTATCAAGTGAATCGTGTTTTTTTTTAATATATCTTTTGATCTAATGAAATTTTTTTTTTTACCTTTGACAAAGTGTGTACTCTTTTACATTAATTACTGTATGAAAAAAAGAGTCTAAAATTCTATTTTTATTTATATATTTCTAGTCGTGATCTATTTTGACACTTATCTAAACGGTCAATCTTTAAAAAAAAAATGTTATCATAATCCGATAGGTCTCGAATGTTTTTTTTGTTGTTTTAATGCAGACATTAAGACACGAGACGATTATTTCTCATTCATCGTATCAATTTTTGCGGAGTTTAACACTTCTCATTTCAAAAACCTAAAGATATTTCATGAAATTTTCTTTATATACGAGATTGTTAAACATTCATGTTGTATAGTTCTGAAACATCCGTTTGTGTGTGCAACGTTTTTTTATTCACGCACAGATATTTCTTTTTTCCATCGTCATTATATTGACTGATGAATTCCATTCATTGACAAGGATAGAATAAATAGAGAAAAAGCCTTCGGGTTATGTTTCAGTACAATAATGAGGAGATTTATGTCTATCTAGAAATGTTATTAATTGTCTAATGACAATGTTGAAATTATGCATATTGCTCTTGAGTGTTTGCCTTGCCTCTTTTTTTTTTTCTTCTCCTCATTGGTTGTTATTTGCTATTATCATTATCAGAAAAGATTGTAATCTCGATTAATAAAGTCATAACAATTCTTCCTCAAACTATTTGTCTTTCTCTCAGTGTAATCGTCAATTGAGCAGTAAGAATATCACTCCTCATTTTGCTCTCTAAAATCAACACATTGTCTGTTTCATCATAATGATCGATATTAAGATATTTTTACCTTCTTCTTTTTTTTGAATTGATTAATTGTTTAACTAATATACCATTATGTATGTATCCATCATGAAGAGAAGATAATTAGGTATAATAAAACAAGAGAATCCCGATGAAATGTTATGAAAAAAAAGTACAAATAACTTTTTTTCCCCTCTATATCGTCTTCTACATACATTAGTACTATTATCAGTTGAAGTTTCGTTCTAAAAAAAACATATCTAAATATGATATATATATATATACGAATCTAATTAGATAAAAACTAGATATGGCAAACAAAATATTCATTAAAAATCTTCAGGCTTTTAATATAACACGCAGTATTTTCTTACTTCTATTTAATTTGACCAGTTGGATTGGTCGAAATTGATATGATGAGAGAGAGAAGGAGAGATCAAATAGTTCATTGAAGTAAACACTCAGTCTAACTAATCGACAATATCAAACTGAGATGACATCTTCCATAATTTTAGCATCGAGAAAATTTCACAAGTATCTCTCAAATAAATACCATTCAATCATGAACAAATGGTCTACAAAATATTCTTCTTTTATCTTAATGACCAAAATAGAGTTAGTATTTATTATTGGCAAAGAAATTATGAAAAAAATCGTACTAATTATCTCTTGTTAAACGAAGAAGAAAAATCTACTGTATACAATAGTAAACTCCCGACTCTCATAACACGCTTGAAAAGACTAAAACGAAAATAAACTAAAATCTTTCATCACAGTATCTTTAAATTCTTTTATTTTAGACAAATAAAAGTTCCTTCTTTTAAGAGAGTATTAAAATATGCTTTAACTGAAAAATGAAGTTTTCCTAAAACAAATGACTTTTGTTATTGGTTCAAGTAGTTAGAGTCTCTTTTACAATCGAAACGATACATGAATATATTTGATGTAATGTCTCAAAAAAGATTTTTTGACAAAGATATGACATCGTTTCAAAAAAAATTCGCCATTCATTTTTATTTATTCTCTGATTTCAAAACATTAAGTCAATTTGAACTCATTCAAATTAGCATTAAAAAAAGTGATTTGAATATAACAAGTATTTAAAGTGGCTCCTTTTTGTCAGATAAACATCGATGTAACTTTCAATTTATCGTACAGGTAAACAAATGAAAATATTTACATATATGAGAGTTACATGACATTTAGTTCGATATAGTTGTTTTGTTTTACTGCGTATCAAATGGATATTGAATACTATATTTTTTTGCTAAAATATCTTTAATCGAAAAACTTGTCATCTGAGAATATTTTGAAGAGAAAATAATGGAGAATTTACACTTATTCTTTGAAAACATGCCTGCTTCAATATGTACAACTATTTATGATTATTTATACAAAGTTATTTTAGAATATCCTTGTAAATGGCAATGAGAGAAGAATTTGTTTGCTAATTGCTTGAAATAGGATAGCATGTTCTTATTAATGGTTAGATAAAAAATAAAATGGTCTAATTGACTAATCTGCTGGATTTTTTATTTTTTTTTTTATTTATGATAAATATTCTCTAGAAAACGTGTGCATGTGTTTGCTGTTTTATAAAATAAAAAAAAAATGTTGTCTTTGTTCTACGAAACTAGTTATTGACGATAAATTACAGTTGTCTTCCATTGATAATGACAATATTTAACATCCTGCACTTAAACGTATTTTTGGTTTATTTTTTTTTTCTTCTTTATCTTCTAATAAAACGTTCACTACAGGATATAATTTTTTTTAATCAAAATCAGCGCGTGCATAGAGTTCACCAACGTCAAAGAATGACTTCAAAATCATTTCTCTCTTTTATTACAAAAAACACGCATTGAGGAAATGGAAAACATATCCGGATGGAAACGATTTGTCACTAATAATGATAAAGCAAATAGAGAAAAAGGAATAAATCATGCTTGGTCGCTTGCTTATCACATTTGTGTATGTTGATACATCAAAAGAAGAAAAAAAAAAAAGAAATTTTCAATAGTTTCAAACATTTGATATTCTTCAAGTGAATGAAACTAAACCTTGAATTAGACAACAATAGAGATGATGATGACATCAATAAATTAATCATATTCAATCAATATGAATATGTGAATAAACCTGTCAAACAAATCAGTGATAAAACAAGAGAGATCAACTATGGTCAATTGTTAATGATCAAAACTACCGTATACTATTACAAACAAAAACTAAAAAAAAATTTTTTTTTCACAGAAATCGGGTGATATATTTATCTTTGATCATTTTATAGTTGAAAAACATACACACATACAGCCAATCTGTTGTATAATTTTTAGTTAAAACTCAATCTAAATTATAGGTGACAAAAAGCACTAATAATCTTTATAAAATTGTTTAAAGTAGAAAAAATATTATTGTCTAAGATACTGTTAATCTGATATCGAATCCATCTAAATTTACTTGATTTTCAATTAAACTAATTGATAGAAAGTAGAATCGATTAGTATACGACATTAGAATTCGCCCACAATTTCTTATACAACTAATGACATTTTTTCTAATCTATATAACCATAATCACTCTATATTTTTTTCTATCTTAATTGGGCCATATGATAAACAGACGTTTACCCTTACTCTTTTTTTCGTTAACTAAACCATATCATAATTAGTATTCTTATTTGAGGATGATGAAGATCGACTATAGATTAACCACCGGCTATTCTATCTTATCACTAAGTATCATGTATAATAAACATCACTAAAATTACTTCATGCATTCAAGGGAGAAGATAATGTCTTGTTATTAGTATACTATTAATACAGATATCAGAGTGATAGTATCTCTGTTAAAAAAGAAGTGTAATACCACCACTACCAACATCGCTCTTTTTTTTCACTCTTAATCAATTTATGCATGAATAAACGTCATGTAACTTTGATATACATACTCAAAAAAACATTAGAGGTCGCATGTTTTATTGCATAATTCTCAAATCATTTTTTTTCTATCTGAAAATTGATAGAAATTTTAAACAAAAAGAAAAAAATATATTTTACATTGCCGAATTGTTGATTTGAATATGTGAAATGTTTAAAATCAACATTTTGTAATTAAAATGTTTATCCTTTTAATATTCATAGAATTTAGACGATAACCGATGGAGAACCTGTGTAATTTACGCTTATGTCTATGCCTAATTATATACATTTTCATCATATTCTCTTAGCTATTATTTTGATAATACAGATCACGAATCAAAATAAACATTTTTTTTTCTCTTTGTTTATTTACTGTTTTTGTTCCACGTATGTGTCTGTTGTGTGGGTGGGTATCAAGAGAAAAATAGAATAAATAGAAATTAATAAAATTATTTTGATTTCAATAATTAAAAACTCGATATATCTAATTGCAACAGTCAGCTGTTTGTTTTTTTACACAGTTGTTTTGCGTTTAGTTGAACATCGTCGATATATTTGTAATTATTTTAAACAAATTGAAGAGTGATATCAATCAAGAGTACACATATTTGTTGTTATAGTTATTTTTCTTAAATTATAAATATAGAATGTCATATAACAATAATAATTACAAATTTTAGATTGCATAATATAGTGTTCCAATATACATAAAGCAGTTCACATGTACAAGTGTTTTAATGGTAATAGTTACCGTTGCTACTTTGTAATTAGTCATAAATTTTAATATTATAACAGTATTTAGAGTTGTTGATGAAAATAAGAAAAAGTTTCTCATCTATTTTACTCAAAAACATAATTTCAACTCTTTCCGAATTGAGACCATTAGATAATTTAAATTAGGATTTTTCTCGATTTTTCAATTAGGAAGGCTCGATAATTTCATGATTACGACATAATTCACACGGACAGGTGTAATAGAGTTATTTAATTCTCTAGCAAACTAAGTCTACTGAGACTTTTACATATGGAAGTAACTTGTTCAAAATGAAAATGAAAAATAATGTATTACTCAAGCAGACAAACTTTTTCGAAAACGCGTTTAAGCGCACAAAAAAAGACGAAAAATCTAGAAAAAGTGGGCGTGTTTGGATGACAATCGGGGTTCCCGACCGTGGGCGAAAAACGCCCATTTTTCGCCCTTCTGGTGCGTTTAAACGCGTTTTCAGCCTAAAACGCGTGTAAATGCATAAAAAAAAGAGAAAAAGTGATCGTTTTTCTTATAGTCGTTGCCAGTAACGGGATCATAATTAGGGTTCTCGAGTATGAAAAAAACGACCACTTTTCTTATGCATTTACACGCGTTTTTGGCTGAAAACGCACCAGAAGGGGAAAAAATGGGCGTTTTTAGCCCACAGTCGGGAACCCCGATTGTCACCCAAACACGCCCACTTTTTCTAGATTTTTCGTCTTGTTTTGTGCGCTTAAACGCGTTTTCGAAAAAGTTTGTCTGCTTGGGTAGATACAGATGTCATACGTTTATAATCGTCTGCATTTATATTTTTCATCTATTTCTTGTCTTCTACTAAAATTTGTAAAATTAGTTTATTGATTATTTTTCAAATTTTCTTTTATCTGTCTATTTAGCTTGAATTCAACAATTATTCGTAATTCGTCTCAAAATCATTTTGAATTATTTGATCCATCTGAAATCAAAGATTTACTTATTTGTGTCAGTTACATTATCAAATCCATATCACAAGGTTTTTAGTCTTAAAATTAAGTAATGAATATTTACTAATTATATTTCATCTATTTATTTATTTTAGAAACTCTCTTAACATTATGGAAACATTACAATCAAGATGATTTATGTTCATTTTTTGGATTATTAGAATCAGCTATTAGAGTGTTCAATTATTTAGGAAGAAAAAATGCAGAAAGATTAATGTAAGTAAGAATTAAATTGAAAGGAAATTTTTCAAATGTTTGTTATAAACCAGATTTGTTACGTTTAATCATGAGAAACACATTTTTCTTTTATAAACACTTCTCATGTCCCATCAATCTATTTATTTCCCGACGGAATTTTACCATTTTTTTTTCCAGGATCCTGTTAAGCTTCGATGATGTATCACTTTAACTTTTTGTATTCTACATAAGATTTTTTTTTTAGATAAAATACCCTCGAGGTTTTGATTTCTAACTGGCGCACTGTTTCTCTACGATAGATTTCTTTTTTGATTTTGATTTTGATTTTCCTTGAAGACGTATTACTAAAATAATTGTACATTTGTATTGAACTCGTTAAGAAAGTATCTTTAACTCTAATCTCATTTGTCAGTATAAGCAGTTTTGTTCCTATGAAGCAGATTGGCGTGTGTATTGAGCCGATTTTCATCTTGTACCCGGTAGAAAAGAGAATAAATTTCTAAACTTTTGTCATTGATATTTATCTTATATATATTATATTAGTACGATGAAAAACCAAACAATGAATGAATTACACGCGAAATAAGTGCAATTCTGATGTTATTGTTGTTGTTATTTTTTTCTATCTGGAAAAGTTTGAAATCGATTATTAATATAATTAATCTTGATTTATTTTAGTGGAATAAGTAGTATGCATATAGCGCCCAAACTATCCACATTACCATCAAAATTAATTGGCATATCTCAAGTTAATATTAAAACAAGTGTAAATCGTCGATCCGATCATTTTAATGAACAACAAGGACTATTTGGACAAAGACAACATCCAGCGCGTATGCTCATTTGTGAACTATTCTTTTCGTTTTTTTGCATCTTAAATACTAAACAAAAACTTCCAAAAATTTATGAAATCTATATCTTATGTATTTGAATATTTTTCCTAATAATCTCATCATACGTAATTATATCTCTCTTTATGAATATATAGAAAATATAATACTATAGATTCTTTTATCTGCGAGATGCATACCTTTAAATATGTTGAATTTATCATACTGGTATAATCGAGAATAAATAAAACATAGATTTTCATTCTCTTTTGATATCTGAATATTACTCTGCCTTTTGACTAAATGGATAGATCTTTAAACGATGTTTTAATTTGATATACATATTGTTCTCTATTATTTAGCATCGTCTGCATCCCATCGTAATTTGTTAGATGCTAATTTAAGTAGTGAAATTAGCTTGATTACGTTAGATACAATTTGTTTATTTACACAATATTTTAATGTAAGTCTACTATCTACCTTTTTCATACACACACACACACACACAGAAAAAAAGAGAGATCATTTTTGTATCTTATTGTTCTAGGATTCTTTACATAGTTCCTACAATTCATCAATAACTAAACGTTTATTTGATATTTATTTACTATTTTTACGTACAAATCAATCAGAACTATTTCTCAAACATTTGTTTAAAGCCTTTAAATTATTAATAATCAAAGTATGTGTAGAGATAATTCTTTTAAAGTAAATAAAAAATTCTTTATTTTTTATTTTAATTTTATTTAGATACCAGCAGTGTTATTTGAAGGTGATACATCATTATGTGGCCAATTTTGTTATGAAGTAAGATATAATAGTTTCACAAACAATTTGTAGACGTTTTTCTTTCAAACAACTTAACATGGAAAACACATCTGAATTCTATCGCTACAACTTGCGGCAAAATTTTAGGTTCTATTTCTCGAGTTTTTCGCGATTCTCCGTATTCTCTGCGTCTTCATTTGTATACAATTTGTATACGTCCAGTGCTTGAATATTCTTGTGCGTTATTTGATTCTGATTTCATTTCTCATCTGAAAGTGTTAGACAAGGTTCAATGTTTAGCTTATCGTATTATTCTCCAAGATTATGTAAGTTCTTGAGACATTCTTCTCCAAAAACTGGAACTATTATCGTTACCAGTGTGTCGTCAATATTACAGACTCACTTACTTTCATAAAATCTATCACGGCGGTAGAAGCCCTATTTCTTCTTGCAATCTTATTTCACCTCCTATCACTCGTCAGACTTTACGCAGAGGACATAACAGACGGGTAGTAATTCCGAACTTTAAGCTTAAAATCACTCGTACTTCTTTTCTATCAAAAAACATTTAAAGAATGGAACAATCTCCTTTCACCTGTGGCACTTCAAAATAGTCACAAAGTTTTTAAGAAGATGTTTCCACAGGAATACCGGGTTTGACTTAAACAACTCTAGTTTGTATTTATTTTTTTTCTCTTTGTTCTTTGTGGAATACTCTCTTATTTTGTTCTTTATTTGTGTTTTTAGTTATACAGGTATCACTAAGGCTTCTGTTTATCAGATGTTATAAATTACTAAACGTTTACTTTCTTTTGTGATGTCCTTGCTTATGCAAAATAAATTTGAACTTGTCTTCTATTTATTCTTGTATACAATTTTGTTTTAGTTACTTCGATTATGTAATTCACCGTTGCCAAATTTAAGAATCGAAGCGTCAACATTATTATTTACATTAATGAAAACAAATTATCAATTTACAAATAATAAACATTTTATTAGAGTACACGTACAAGTAAGTAGAGTAGAAAATATATCAAAAAGAAAGATTTTCGTTAACTCTTTTTTTTTTTCTTTTCCCTATTTTTCTAGACAGTCAAAAGTGTATCTCAGTTGTTAGAAAAACAACTTCAGTTAAATTCAACAACACAAAGTCATATTGATGATAGTCTACGTCTCATTAATAATTATGCTAAATATGAAAAGAATGTACAGGTATTAATTGAGTAAAAGTTAATCATAGAAAAAAGATTTATATATATTTTTTTTTTAATATTTGTTTTAGTTTCAAGCAGAAGTTAGTGATTTAATTACACGTATTCACACAGTAATAATGTCAATGAATCAATTGAGTTCATATGAAGATAATGATGAGATGTACATCGATTTACTTTATAAAATAGCTCAATCTTATACGTCAACATCAGAATTAAGAAAAACATGGCTCGAATGTATGGCTAGAAAACATCAAAAACAACAAAATTATGCTGAAGTAAGATAAAAAATAATTTGAGAAGAAATAAATGTCAAATATATTTCTAATTTTTTAGTAACTAATATATAAAAGAAAATGTTTTTATTTTTTCATTGATCTTTACTAAGACTACTTTATTCTTTTATTCCTTTTTTTCTACAGGTTGGTCATTGTTATCTTCATATTGCTGCATTAGTTGCTGAATATTTGAAAAGAAGAGGTACATCTGAATTTTTTTTTAAATTATTCCATAAGAAATCAATGATATTCGTATTTTATAGAAATATATGATTTGGGTTGTGATGGTTTCAATAAAATATCTTTAAATATGAAATTAGATGAATCATCTATGAAAAATGATGTTTATTTACAAGATATACATTATACAATGGTAAAATAAACATTTTTTTTCCTCATGATCAAATACAATTTTTATCTCTTATTTTCAGAAAGATCTCATTCATTATTTAACAAAAGCTGGCCATTATTTACATATAAGTGAAAGATATGAAATATTAGGGGAAATATTTAACAAATTAATTGTACCAATTCATGAACAAAATAGAGACTATCAAGTAAGAAGAGAGAGAGAGAGAGAAAGAAAGTGAAGTTTTAAATGTCATTCATTTGTGTATACACCTTTTATAGGCATTAGCAATTGTTTATGGCCAATTACAAGATTCTTATTCAAAAGCGGTCGATGTAAATAAAAGTGGAAAAAGATTATTAGGTTCATATTATAAAGTAGCATTTTACGGAAAAGTATGTATAAGTTTTGTTTTATGGATGTGTATGTTTTTCCGATTTTGTCTCTATTTTGAGTCATCTCCCAGGTTATTTCGAATCATAAATTTTCATACAGAAAAAAATAAAAATAATATTCAACAGAGGAAAAAATAGAGTGTTAAAACTTGTAGAAGATGAAGAAACTCACAGGAGATACTTGGACGAAACGATGCTCTCAATGACACGATCGTCATAAAGGTGTCTCAACAGAAAAAATGACGGAACATATCCATCCAGATGAAAAAAGTCGTTCGAGGGGTGGTACTCGAAAATAGGCCCTCGCCGAGGGCTCGGCCTCTCTGAAAATGGCACTTCGGACCCTCGATATAAGCTTTCGTGGGGTATCGATTTCGAGCCCTGGGATTTCAGATAGGTAGCGAGGCCTCAAGAAAAATGTCAAGCCGTCGAATAGAGATGTTCGGGACTCCCGAGCCCTCGCTTTCTCGAGGGTGCGACGAGGACTCGGAAATACTCCTCGAAAGCTTATATCGAGGGTCCGAAGTGCCATTTTCCGAGGGCTCGAGCCCTATGAGATGAGGCAAAAAAAACTTGTAAATTTTTTTTGACGGATCAGATAGTCTTAGAACAATATTTTTTGCTCATGGATTACGAAACAGAACAATAAATTTTGTCTCGCACGATTCTAATTCTCAATGTAACACTAAATATTAATAATATTAGTTTAACATATTCATCTTTAACAAATTTTAGAGTAGTATATGATAATTTCTTTTTTGATTATGATTTTGATTGTCCTATGTTACATGATCGTTTCGTTAATCATTTAAATATTGTTTGAAATGATAAATCATACTATATTTGATGGATTTTTTGTTTTTTAGAATATTTTTTATGAACATGATAAAGCGTATGTGTACAAAGAACCGTTTGTTACTCAATTACCAATGATTCGTGAAAGATTAGAAAAATTATATTCAGCGTATGGAAAAGTAAAAATGATTTTAGATTCAAATAAAGTACGTAATCAAAAATTAAAACATTTGAAATATTTCTTTAAAATTTTGATCAATTAAATTTTATTTCTAGTTAAATCAGTTTGAAAATGATGTTAGTTACATTCAAATTGTCTTTGTTCAACCATATTTTGATTCAATCGAAATAAAAGATCGTGTCAATGAATTTGAACGATCGAATAATATTCGACGATTCTATTATGATACTCCAGTAACATTAGATGGAACAAAAGGTCATACACAACAAATTGAACAACAATGTAAGATAAGAACAATATTGACAAGTAAGTACTATTTAATCTATATCTAAGTGAGTGACAAGAAATAACTTTGATGATATGTTATAAAATTTTCATGTATAACCCTTTACGACCGAGTGTTGACTACCGGTAACATCGATCTATTAAGTGTCGAAGGAATTTCGTTCTAAAAGAATATACTTTGCCGATTCCTGTCACAGCAAAACAATAAATATAAAGGGAGAAATATTTTTATTAGTTAAATTTTTGGTAGCCGACAGAAAAGGGATATACACATGAAGGGGATATTGTTACTAAATGGCTTATGCAGCCGGCCGTAAAGGGATAAATTTTAATCAATGGTACACTAAAAGTTTTTGTCATGATATTTTCTATTTTTTATAGCTTCTCATTCGTTTCCATATGTGAAAAAACGTATTGAAATTATCGATCAAATTGAATTACATTTATCACCGTTGGAAACAGCATTAGATGAAATTCGAACAAAAAATTCTGAGATTAGAGCTATTCTAAATGAAGAGCCCATACGTATAGTTATGATTCAATTGTTACTAGCTGGAAGTGTACAACCACAAGTATACCTAATTTAAATCTCTTCTTCTTCTAATTATTAAATGATTTTGGATCTTTGTAGGTGAATGTCGGTGTTATGGCCTATGCACAAGCATTTCTAGATGAGACTAAAGTCAAATATTACAATCAGAAATTAATCAATCAATTAAAAAATGAATTATCGTAAGTGTATGATTGAAAAGTCCTTGTTAATACAGCATCATTACATAGTTATTTAGTAAAAAAAAACAAAAAAACATTTTAAAAATACATTAATACCATTTATAAAATTGAAATTTTTATTCATTTTAGTGATTTTTTATGTTTATGTAATGATTTAATTATTGTTCATGAACGTGAGTGTACTGCTGATCAACGAACCTATCATCAGACATTAGTCGAAGCAAAAATGAATTTAAATGATTTATTAAAACCATTTCTCGATGTATGTATCCATGTGTTTTTATTAGTTTTAACAAATTAGTCAGAATATATTATCTTTTTATTTTCAGAATGTTGATAATCTCGATCAAATGTTATTGTCTTCCAAACTTACACTATTCAATTCAGAATCAGATTATACAACAGCTTAATGTTAAATTAATAGAATATAGTGTAATCCGTCCAACATTAAAGAATTTCTTTTTTGTTTTACTGCTGCTGCTTCGTTTTGTTTTAATCTAATCCCATTTAGCCAAATTTTTGCTTTTGTATTAATCTATTTTGTGGAACAATGATAGATTTAAATTTTTGTTTATTCTTTTTTCACTTGTCAGATTATTTTCTCTTGTTTTCTTCCATTCAGTTGGTTAAACATAATTAAAGTAGTTTACATATTTCACTGAGAAATCATTTATAATTTAACATAATTCTAACTAGAACATATGAATTTTTCAGTTGTAATGTAAAATCGTTTCATTTTTAAGTCAGAATCATAAAGATAAAATAACATAGTAAGTTGTGATCTTAAGTTTTTTTCTTAGATGCTCAGAATGAATAGCAATCCTAAATTGAACTCAACCATTTTGATAAGTATTACTGATTACTAAACGATCTTTTTCCTCTCTAATTTTATTCAGGAATAAATGTTTGTTTAATCTCTTAACTCGATCAAATTTATCCAGCTTTGCTTTAAACTATTTTTTTCTTTTTTATATTGAACGGTGCTGTTCTTTTTCCCGTTTTTCTATTTATTTTTCTATTTAATTTGCATGCATTATATCGTACTAAAGCTTTAACAAAAATATTTTTATTCTGTATGAAATGTTAACTTTTTTGCTTTCATATTATTTTACATTGTACGAAATGTGCATCATTTTTTCCATTATTTGTCAAAAATATAAAAAGAAATGTTGTTCTTAATTAATTTGTTGAGTAATAATGTTAGATGAATATTCTACAAAAAATATCATTATTTTTCCTGAAAAATAAATATTAAGCATGGGAATAAAATATTCACAATGAAAGGACGGGGGACGATAGGAGCCAAAATTGGCCTCCTCTCAAATCAGTCTTATGTTAACTCATATGATGCAATTTTTGTCCGTGATTACCGCTAACGCTCATATTCTTAGACCTTAAAAATCCTTTTCAGCGCCCCTGGAAACATTTTAGCAAACAAAACTCTTCTCGCCTTAAATGACCTTTACTCAAAGTATTTTCATTATTCCACCTCTTTTATCTAAAGCAAATATCAAGTATTATACACCGTTAGATAGACAATTTCACGGGCTACAAAATGATATATAAGAGAGTCTTAAGAAAATGTAACTGGGTAGGCTAAGATCCGAAACACTCAGTAGCATCTCAGAAAACCGGTAGGTCAACCTCATTGATGTTTGTTCCATCCATTTAATTTGTCCTTAATCACTCTGCTTTATATGTCATTCGATAGAGAATTTTACGGGCTACAAAATCAAAAGTAAAAAAAAGGTTTTGACTGAGTTATGAATCTTTTAATTTTAGGCTAAATCAAGCAGTAACGGGTTATTTCATCTAATATAGGTTTTCACTAGATTTCAGACTCTTATACCGAAAACTAACATTGTCAGGAGATTCAGCGTGATCGATAACCTATGTTTCCATCTATTGTGAAGGTTCTGGACCTAAAAATCACCCAATTTCGGTGTCTCCGGAGAATTATCGCACCTGAACGATATAGACAAATGAATCTATTCAGATGTTGAATAATATTCCTGATGCTAGAATTTTCTGAAATCATTATATACGATTTTGTAGTCCGTAAAATTCTCTATCGAATGACATATAAAGCAGAGTGATTAAGGACAAATTAAATGGATGGAACAAACATCAATGAGGTTGACCTACCGGTTTTCTGAGATGCTACCGAGTGTTTCGGATCTTAGCCTACCCAATTACATTTTCTTAAGACCCTCTTATATATCATTTTGTAGCCCGTTCACATGTTTTAATTTTTTTTGTTTATATTTGAAAATGTCCCTTGTAGATCGAATTGTATTGTTGTTCAGATGATTTTCAAATGATGTTAACACGTTGCACGATTGCGATGAACTCACAAGTCAGTAAGATGTTTTTAGCTATAAAAACGGGTTTGCTTTTTTTTCTCTAAATAGAAATTCTACAATGAACAGTTTTTATTATGCTGAACAATAAGTGCTCTAAAGTTTTGTTCGTTACTTTAGTCTGCCTGTATTTAGTTTTGGCCATTCCACATGACTCAGTTGAAATTGTGAGTCGAACACTTTTTTTGTCAGTTTTTTGTCTTTATATCTTTCGAGTAGAAGGACGCCCAAAGCTTGTAATTGTCTTACACTGTGGAGAAAAGTGGCAGACATATCAGAGTTCTCTCAAATTCTTGATCAAGGTGATATTGCGCAGATATTCAACACAACATTGAAAAGATTTTCTTGTTTTTAAACAAAATATGTCTTCGTTTTATTAATATATCTCCATAATCAAGAATCGTAGAGAGCTCTGATATGTCTCGTGCCCGAATTACAAAGAATGATCATCTTATCCACTCTGAATGTAAATTGTGGTAGTCATTCGTATTCTACCATTTATTTTAGACTGTATGGGTCGGATCTATACGGGTTTACGTACGATTATTCAATTAAAAAAAAATTGGATTCCGATTATTAATCAAATGATTTATGCTTATGCTACAACAAAAAATTCTAGCGGATGGAAGGAAATCGCTGCTCATCATCCAAAAATTGAATTATTTAGTCGTCAAAAGAAATCGAATATGATTCCATGGGGACAATTACGCTATATGCCAAAATCTTGGTATGAAACATCTAATTATTCAAGAAATACGATTGATTTACAATCAGGATTATGGTGTTTTCAATGTTCTCTGCAAAATAATCATCAAACAATTGAACTATTTTTCAAATTTGTTTTACCTGTAATATCAAAAGATATTCTTTATTTGGAATTATTGGAAGAAAAATCATTACATTCAGAACTTTATAAAATGAAGAACGGAAAAATTGTACAAACACAAATTGGAACATATTTATACGATCCAGAATATCATGATGAATATCAATAAACAATATGAAATTATTGTGAATATTGGTATCAAATTTTTACAATATTTGATATGTTGGATACCTTATGATATCATTAGCCTTAACAAAACTATGTCAAAAAACAGAATTTAGTGGCAAATATATCATATTAACTATTCTCAGTGCCATGTTCGCCAAAATATCGAATATTTTACATCTTTCAATTTACATTTACACATTAAATAATCTAAAATATGAGCCCGTAATTCACACCAACACCGTTGTTTCATATGAAAACTGAAATACACATGCAATACATGTAACTGTTAACAACGGATTTAACGTTTACCATCTCTCATGTGTACTTTGAGTTCTTTTTTTTGCGGCAAAAAAGTTCATTGTCGCCGAATTGCAAAATTCACTTTACTTTATCTGTTATGTATTTGGCATCGATACAATTAAAAGCAGTTTACGACACATAACAATACAATACAATAAGACATTGTATCTATTTTCTACCGCAAATATATTCTCAAGGGCATCTGTAAAAGATGAGAACGCCCAGAAAAAGCGCCAACGTATGTCAAGTTGATCTACATGACTTTCTGATCCTACCGGTACAGTTTTTGATCGAAGAAAACGACTTAGTGACAGAGCTGGGCAAGTCAAGTTAAAAATGACTGAAATCAAGTAATTTTTGACTTGACTTGTGACTTAGTCTGAAAAATCAAGCCAAGTCATCAACTAAGAAAATCAGGTTTTTTTGGCGAATTTTAGGGTAAACTATATGATTAGGTCAGGAATTTTAATTCCGTATTAGATAAAAGTGCTCTTCCACCGAAAAACTGTGGCTTTATAAGCGATTTTGGCCATTCTCTAAAAGCAATTATGAAGACAAAATCGCAGGAAAATCCATTTTTTATCAACGCAGTAGGCGAGTACTCAAGACTGTACAGTCGTCCTTAGAGTAGAGAAAGGATCGAAGCCTACAAAAATCTGAGGATTTTTCTACGAAAAAAAAATTTCAAATCATGACTTGTGATTTGACTTGACCTGGAAAAACCAGAGACTTTACTTGATGTCACTAACTTAAATTATACCACAAATATAATGTTCAACCATATCAACATGTTCAACAACATAGTCTATTTAATATAATCAACCAGAATAGAGTTGTAATCGGATCGGCCAATTGATCGATAACCGATCTGATCCGATTAAGTTTTTCAATCGGCCGATATTCACCGATTTTTTACCGATTTATTTTTCCATAGAAAAAAACGTATTGAAGGAGGAAAAGGTTTTTCTATACTTAATCTTGACTGAAAAATCGATTGGAAATAGTTTGTCGAGGAAAAAGAATTATTTAGAGCATTTTCTGTGTTTTGGTCATTTCCAGCTCTGGCTATTGTGGGACCATTTTGATCCTGAGTTGCATCGATTTTGTCATTTTTAATTTAAACTAAGTTTAATAAACAACAAATCGAGCTATGCTCATTACATGTTTTGACAATTTGATCAAAAGAGAAATACAGTTAATTGCTAAAAAGAGAAGAGAAAGAATAGCTGATAATATATATCAGAGAAAGAACAGCAAACTATTCTAGGACAAGGGAGAGTAAGTTCTAAGGACTCATTTATCATGGTAGAATGTTATCAACGGATCTCTATCAATTTCGACCTGAGCGTGTCTACTACAGAACAATAAAAGCAGGTCAAGTACAACCACATCACGGACGGAAACGTTTTGTCCTTTTTATGAAGTCTAATGCGTTATTATATAATATGAATAAGTCACGTTTATTCATAAGAGAAAAGATTGGATCCTTAAAGAGAATATGGTTTAACTGGATGATGTTGACCTTTAACACTATCTCGAAGATATTTAACATTGGAGATCTTTCCGTAGTGAAAAGAGGACAGGTAAGAAAGAAGTGAGAAACGGTTTCGTGGAGAAATCCAAACTGAAACTGTGTGAATTGTGTGTGTGAGTTTGGGACATAAAACGTGGATAGGATGGATTGGGTATCCTCCATCTTGCTTTTTAAGATCGTTTGTTTTTCTCTATGCCAAATATTTTTTTGAAATATGAATTTGGCACTCTGCAAAAAGCAAACTCGTGAACCAGTTGAATAACTAGTAATTCCTATAAATTGCGTAAAAATTTAATGAGTGACAACTTCAACTGTTCAGTAATGTATACAGAGTACGCTATTTATCTTATATCTTGTCCACAGAAAATATAAATTCTCGAAACATCCACCACATGTGAGTCCAAATTCAATCAACTTGTCATCAAAGAAAACAAAAATATCAGAAGTTGTTGTCCATTTCTACACATAATGTGAAAATGATCACAAAAACTTTATTTGCTCCTACTCTACTCTAAAGGTCGAGATACACCCATGAGTTTGATGGGGAGTGGCAGAGGCTTTGATCTGGGACATAAAAAGTGGGTGGAATGGATTGAGTGACCCTTATCTTGCTTTCTAAGATCGTTTGCTTTTCTCTGAGCAAAGTCTGTGCCAATTATTAGACGTGTTCTGTTTCAGCACATTTCTCCATCAAAACTTTCTCGAAATTTTATTATCCATAGAGTTATTTGTGCCTTACCCATAAAAAATTTCGCAGAATTTAACATTTTTGGTTTCAGAGCAATCTGACCGTCTATGTATCACAGTCCATATTCAAATTACGACATCATTGAGTTTGTTTCAGTAGTTTGAAGTGCACACGTTCGGCGGTTCTGAGGTCTCTATTATCCTGTCAGTACTTATTGGCTTTGCATTTTACTCATAGTATGTTGAAAAACTAAGTTTTTATTAGTCTTTTTTAACAAATTATTGTGAATTTTATCTTTTTAATCATCTTTCTTATCATCATCATCATCATCATCATCATCATCCCTTTTTTTCTTCTTTATGTCTCGGAAAAACTCATGATTAATTTCTTCTACTTGCAAATATCGTTGTCCGTCAACATTCGTCCAGTATTTGTTCTTATCCAAATTACGATCTTCGGTCGACATTTCATTTTCGATTGCATAAACAATACGAGCACGTTCCAACTGCCTAAAATAAAACAAAAAGGATGATATTTATGTCCTGAAAGTATGCTATCTAACATACCAAATTTGTGTTGCACCTTCAATAACGTTACCGTAAGTATCACCCATCATAGCAATTAACAAATTCAATAGCAAAATAGTCACAACGACAACGTAAACAATCAACAGTGATACACTAACATATTGAAATGATGTTTCTGTGTATGCATCGATATCAAAATCACCCAGCATACCAACAAACGATTGTTTCAGACTTAGTAAAAATCCGCTAAAACCTAAACTTATGAGAATTTTCCTATAGAGCACTATAATCGGAAAAAAAGTTACTATAGATTACCGTTAAAATTAAACAGAACAAAAAATGCTTGTGAGAAGCCGGCTAAAAATACCATATAAATAATACAAAATCTTAGAACATCGTTGAACAACATTTGATAAATCATGACGATAAATGGACCAGTCAAACGGAATGCCATGACGAAAAATAACATGTATCCCCAACCAGCTATAGATGCAAGGGCCAACACAGCTGTTTGAGCACTCCAATCAAACCAACGAAGAATATTAAACAGAATGATGGATATCGAAAATACACACGATAAACAATTTTCAAGTAAACCAGAACCCTAAAACCGAGACACCATTCTATCACTACTATTAAGGAAAATTATATTTATGACTTTTGAATGCAAAATCAAATATAACACCTTTTTCTTATATTATAAAAAAACCATATAACAATACTTTTCCTTCTATTATGCATTAAATCTTGATTAAACTTTTAGAGGACATAGATTCTAGTGAGAAAACATATCTAAATAAATACTTTAATGATGCTATTGTTCGCATTCTCTTTACACAGGACCGACTTTTGCAAAACCTTGATTTCTAAAGCGTTTGAGAATCTTATTCAATAGTGAAGAGGGTGAATAGATTATGTTATTCATACGGACTCTCAAAGTAGAGATACTCGGACTATTCAAATCTGTGTATGTCTCAATACCAAAGTTTTAAAGATAATGGTTATCCCTGATCAATTCTCCTTTTAACTTCTGAAAAAATATAACTATTATCAATAAGAGATATTCAAATGCCGAAGAGGTGAATATAAATCATATTTACTGTCGCATTGAAATATTTTCTAATACCAGCACTTGTCATTTCATTAAATTCACATCTTCCTTTGTGGAGTGCTCCAGCCAGCACAAAATAATTTCCAATAGTATGCAGGTAATAGATGAAACCTGTGGGGTATTCGACAATGGTCTCTGCATCATCTCCTTCACCTATAGTCTAAATCAAACAACATGGGGAATTTATTCAAAGAAAAGAGACTATTCATATTTTCATGATCATACCGTCTCTGTTCTCCATTGCTGCAAAATAATTGTCAGCATGAATACTAGCAGATAACTCAACGCTACCATAAATCGTTGAAAAAATGCTTTGCCAGCAAATCGCTCCCATTTTTTATCAATTAAATCAATTAACCTTGGATGCATAATCAACTCAACATGAGCATTATTCACGATTAATTCGAGACCCCCAACGTTTGTCTCTTTGCCCTAAAACAACAACAAAAAGTTTACAAAGTAATTTATACTCTCTATCTCTCATACTGCCAACCTCTTCTTGTAATCCTAAATCGAGCTGATCTAATGGGTATAATACACAACTAACTGGTCCATATTGCCATTGAACAATTTTTCGTTCTTCTAACAAAAATGAAAACATATCTTTTTCTCCTAATTTAGCTGCCAGAGTTAATGGAGTTAAACTCTCATTATTTAATCGTTTCCACAACGGAGGTTGTTCTTCCTCGTCCGGCTTTTTCACTTCGCCATTGACCATTTTTTCTTTTTCTTTTTCATTATCTTCAATCCAACGTGCTTTGTACTTGACATAAATCTCAGATAAATTATGGATTACCAGCAGATGTAATATGTTGTTTCCATTACTGTCAACCTGAAATAATGATAAGACAAGTTCTAGATTACTCGTAATATTTGAAATGGAAACTTTTGGAAATATCTTACCATGTCCTTATCAGCACCATGTTCTAACAAGATTTCAGCAATGTTCCATTGATTCGTACAACAAGCAAAAGCTAATGGATATTCTCCATAATAACATGGTCGTCCACTAAAAAGTAAAAACGTTTAACAAACTAGATCTTACATTTTTATCTAATAATGGTACGTGCTCTTTGAAGAAATTTCCACTAGCTGCTGCTGTTAACAATTGTTCTCTGTAGGGCAGTGTAAGCGGGTCAGTCAACAACCATTCAACCATGTGAGCATTTTTTTTAATTATGGCTATGTGTAACACATTTTCACCATAATACTCCTAAACAAAAATATAGCTGATTTAAGTACTCCTCTCTTATTAAGTCGGCTGAATACAATGAAAAGAGACTTATTCTCATTTCAAAAAATTCGATCGAGATTTAATGCTAAAAAGTACAAAATTGTTGGTGAGTTGTTTTCCTCAAAATCTGTAGTAAAAATTATTGTTTTTCTCTTAACGTCACTCACATGAACCTTGTTGACAAGACCAAAGATTTTGCAAAAATCACCATAAAAATGTTGTCATGTGTTTTCGAAAATTTTTAACATAAATTAAGATATCGAATCGCATGATATTACGCTGTAAATATTCAGCTCATCAAATAGATCGTATCATAGACGAACAAAGATGTTTGATATGACTTATCTGCTTGCATCGTACTCGTTCTCCTTTCCTCACTTTTCCTCAGAAATTAAATTTTCCCCTCTTTTTGATATAAGCTTCTTCTTTCAGAATACAAGTAGGAAAATTTAATTTAGGAAGAAAAGTGAGGAAAGGAGGATGAGTACGATGCGAGCATATCTGTTACTTAGAACCAACTGCATTGTGGTTACATATGGTTTACAGTGTTTAAGACGATTCTTTGGTCATATATAAGAGTTATCAAGACCATATGTAGTGTTCATCTATTAATGATTTTAGATTTCCATAGATTTCCTTGTTTTGAAACTATCCAGTAGCAAATGACAATACTAGTCGAGAATCAGATGTATGTGTTTGGACTGATTCTGAGTTCTTGTCTTTTCAGTCCTGAATGCGTTCGTTATTGCCCGAAAAGACTACCGATTTCTCCACTAGAATTACCTGAAAACCTTGAATTAGATTGTTGAAACTAGCTAATTTCTGTTATTATCATCTCGATCCTGATTCCTTGAGAGTCATACAGTTCTGTATACATGAATACTATCAAACTGTGAGAATTATAAAAGTTACAAACATATATTCAAAATTTATGGAACCGGTATGGAAGGCTGTACCCGTACCGATCTGCTGATAAACCGGTGAGAATAAAATTTAAAAGCGAAGAAAAATCGGTTGAAACTTAAATCATTGTATAATCATTAACCACTTCACAAGTCTGACATTTATATTTCCATGAATTATTTGTTTCCAGCCTTTGTAGACACTAGATAAACATGTTCTTTCAACTACATATATGAAAAACAAGATACTATATAAAGTGCTACTAATAGGCTACTGCTTCCCCAACCTGGCCCGATCACTTCTGAAAACCTTGTAAGTCCGCCTGTGCTGATCCCTTATATAATATAATGATTTGTACGAAATTAAATGTACAATATAATGGCTTATCTGGATACATCGAGACGACCAAAACATATCGCGAACGTCGGAACGCTTAGATATGTCGTACTATAAAAATTTCCGCAATGTATGGCGAGGGTTATACGTTTTCGGATGTATCGCGACACAAGTTAATATCGAAAAGCTTTTACTGGTGCGATACACCGATGAGTCATCATTCATCACGGTACACATAGATAAATTTATTATTGAAATATATCCCGATGTAGCGGAATGTTCCGACGTTTGCAATTTATTTTGATTATAGCAATATATCCGGATAAGTCTATCGCAAAAGCCTATCATGGGTTCACTTTCTCTTACCGATAGGTTATAGATAGCGGTCACAGACTCCGGAAATCTGCCGATAACATACTGAGCTAATTCCAAATGTCCTTCTGTTCCATATATGAATAACATGTGCAGTGGACTTTCGCCAACAAAACCCCGTTCGTTTACTTTGTTTGGATCAGCATTTAATAAATTTTCCAAAGCGCTTTTGTCTGCTTTTCTCACGATATCCCATACGGTACCCTTTTGTCGAGCAGCTTCTGTTTGTTTTTCTACTGAACTTGAACTTGATTGATCGTCACTACCCGCAGCGAATGCTTTGCTAACAGCGACATTTACGACTAATTTTGACCAGATACCACCTTTTTTCGGCACTGTTGTTGGAGTTGGAGGATCAGTCATTCCTTTGACCTTATCAGATTGAAAAACTATTGAAAAATTTACTTGTTAGCCAGATACTGCTCCTAAAATCACATGAACGTCACCAGTCACTATTTCTAATTGATTAGACGAGAGCACATGGATCCGATAATATAAAGTGAATATATTAAAATGAGACATAGATAGTGAAAAAAATCCTTGCTAAGCTCGTTTGATGGTCGACAATTGTTTTAACTATGTAGAAAAGACCGTTAACTAGGCGTTACAGTGGGTATATGGACACAAAAACAAAGTTTTACGTACAAATAAAAGTCCCCTCCGTTGAAAAAAGTCCACAAGTATAACCGGCGTCAAGAAGCAAAATAGCGTATGCTTCTTTTTTCGTGTTTTGAAAAGGTGTCCTTCGTACAAAGCAATGAAAACAACTGTATACGCTGTCCGATCGCACCTTTCTTATTAACTTGTTCTTGCATGCGCGCACGATGAGAAGAAAAAATCAATACTTTTTTATTGTGTATTCTCTTACGTTCTTCTCTCACATACTTATGTATACTTGCTTTTGGATAGAGATAATTCAAGGATATTCTTTAAGCTTATTTTCCTATCATGTGAATATGCTTATCATCTTAAAGCACCATTCATATGTAATTAAATCAATTCTAACTTTTTTAGCAACAGCTGTTAAAACCAAATCACGCTATAATATTAATTTCTCTACAACAAATTTTGTTACAGTTCAGCAGAGAAAAAATTAGTTTTCTGTCATGTGAGAAAGATCAAACCAGGTCGTTTTTTACTTTTAGCAACGGATGGTCGCGAATTATGTTGATAATTTAGTTTTATTTTTTTGTATGTAATGTGGTAAATGAAATATGATTATTAAAAATTAGTCGCTCTCTTTTTCTGTTCGTATACATACAGTTGCTTCTGTTTCGTTCAATAAAATTTCAATAGGTAAAAAAAGGATACAATTATTTTGTTTTTACTATTCTGTTGTAGAAAATAGCTTAACCTGTGTAGTAGCAAATATAAATGTGAGAGTAAGTTGTATCATTTCAGGAACATTATACAAAAAAAATTGAACAACTCAGAAATACATAGATATCCAATATTAAGATATGACCGATTTTTTAGTAATTTCAATAGTTCCAGGTGCGATTTTCTAATTTTTATTCTTGTTTGGAAGCAGAAACCAAACAAGCGGTTTATAAAAGAACATTTTGTGTTATCTCTTACAAATAGACTATTGGCTAGCTATTGCTATCTTACAATTTTAATCTTCAACAAAACGATTTCATTCCATTCATTCTATTAACATAGTCTCTCATTTAACTAAGGTATATCAAGAAATAAACTTGATTTTTCTTTATATTTAAACTGTGGGAAAGAAAATTTTGTTTGCTAAAGAAGTTAAATTTTACAATTCAAATAAAGAATAGCAACAACAGTATAAAGCGAATCTTAAAGAGTAGCTAGCTATAAGGCAGCTATTGTCATATATGAGAAATATATTATGCTTTTTGCATCTTTAATAAAAACATATTTAGACGGTTGATTGATAATATAACGAGATAATAAATATGTATTCTAATGTAATACAATTTTATCGAAATGAATCATTATTCTAGAATATTATCACCTTTATCAAAACAAAATATCAACAATATATAGTAGAAAAAAATGTGATATTTGACATACTACAAGTAACTGTTTATTTCTCGATAAGTAATACCTATTTTTATGTACGGTATAGAGTAAACACAACACATCGGTCACTACACTTCATCCATACAGGCGTTGACTATGCAGTGTCATTTTTTGTTTACCAAGTTTTCTGATCTATAATATCAATTGAATTTGAAGTTGCTTCTACTGTTGTTAAGGAAACTCAAGGATAAAGGGGTCCGAACTACTGGAACGTTTCAGTAGTGATTATTGGTCAATTTGCTCCAGTAAATCTGGCTCATCCTTTACCTAGGTTGGCATGGCCTTATTGAATATTGTATTTATA